TGCCATGTTTTCATTGGCGTATGAAAACAGGCAGCTGCCCCGAGAGCAGCACTCTCAACCCGAGCATCACAGCCCATTTGATACCCCTTTTTCCCAAAAATATGCACATTACTATTCATAGCGGCAGCAAAATCACAGTTATCAAATAGCAACGAAAATAAGTTTATGGTTGGGGGTCACAGCAAGAGAAAACACAGCATTAGGAAGGATGAGAACCGTTGCTCTGGGGCGTGTGCGGAAAGCCAGGAAACAAAGCAATCCCTAGAACCTCCAGAAGAGACTTCATGTCCACATCCTTATTAACCCAGTGGAAACCTGTTGGGAATTCTGCCCTCCAGAACCCCATAATAAATCTTCTGCAGTTTGAAGCCATTTAATATAAACCAATAAACACTTGTTTTAAAATTATTTCCTCCTATCTGCATTGCAATTTCTAAGCATCACTTAAGGAATTATGGCAAAAGGCGCCTGAACATTACAAGATAACGCTGTTAACCGTGGTTCACAGGCTCAAATGCCATCTGGTATCTGAGACTCACCAGTGCCTTACCCTAGGGAACCACGCACGGAGTAAATGCATGCCAAGACACGTGACCAAGAAATATATGACCCAAGAATGTGGCCAAGACTCTCCATTCGCCTCACACGAATGTGTTGAACTTAAATGTTCCAAAGCAATGAGAACAAATAGCAAAATAAACATTAAGGTTGTGGGCTGGGTACTCAGCACATCTTTTCAAAGCTTACGATAAACATTTTCAAGTCTTACCAAAATTTTCTACCGAATTCTACACGATATCTATTCTGTTTCCGAAGCCACTCACTATATCCTATAAGGAAGCCAGCACAGCTCCTGTCCTTGATCCATCTCACAGGTCTCATGTTCTCGATGAAAAGAGCCCAAGCATAAACACTTAAGCAGAAGATGTAGTTCTACCAAAAAATAAAAGCAAAGCTCTTAGAGCATCAAGATAACCAGAAGAGTAGACCCCTGTCGTTCTCTAACATTTATTAGCTTTATCAAATAATATGTTGACTGTGAAAAACTCATTATCACAACACTCTTCTTGCTTTTAGATATCATTTATTTATTTCAGTCATTTCACATTTTTACTAGTCCTTTTTCTTTGATGCTGTTTGGCTGGTATTTATTCCTGCAGATACTGGGAACTTATGAAGTATATATTCCTGAATAATTTTACATAATTCAGCACACATTTGCACATGACAAAGTAAAGGGACTGTAAAGAAAGTGAGGAACACAGTGAAAACATAAGGACTTTGCCCCTCGGCGTGTTCACGGTAGGGCTGTAAAGAAAGTGGGGAACATGGTGAAAACATAAGGACTTTGCCCCCTGGTGTGTTCATAGTAGTTGGATTCAGGCAAGGCAAAAGGCTAAACACTAGACACCAACCACATTTGATCTGTGCTAAGGGCTCCTGTTGGAGGAGTGGAAACCATGAAAAGATACAGGCAGAGGCGAGCCGAGTCTAAAACAAACATTCATTCTGCATACAATGGAGAAGTCAAGAAAAGTTTCTGACGGAGCACACAGCATGATAGGAAAGAGAGGCAAAAGGGAAAGGTCTAGAAGGAACAGAAAATCCTTCAGCAATGAGATGATTCTGTGTGAGCAGAGGGAGCTTGGAGCTAGAGGGAGGATGAGAAGTGGAAGATTCAAGAAAAACTCAACATATTGAAAACAATCACACAGCCAGGGGCTCCTGTTAGAATACCTACTAACACAAGTAGACCAGGGACTGAGAAGCACAAAACTCAGTTGGAAATGACAGGTCCATCTGTCCGAAGAAACAGCTGTTTTGATAACTAAGACTCTGGACCCAACCGTAAAGAAAGAGGTAGAGCAGCGCAAAACTGAAAGCCAGATGAAGCCAGCACTTCTCAGCTAGGGAAGTCCTAGTGCCAGTCCAAAGGAAGTGGAGGGATGATGCAACCGAAAAAAAAAATCCATCAACAGAAGACTTCAAACTTCTCACCTGTCTCCCCCATCCCCGGGGCCCGGAATAGCTAACTATGGTAAACGGAGGGATGCAGCTGTGGTTGCTGCTCACTTGTTTGTGGAAGTGGGTACTGTGAAGAGGGAACTGTCTGGAGTAATAAAGGGAAATAACACTCAAAGCTTCGTAATGAAATTACAACTGAACAATCAATTCATAAAAGTGCACTTAAAAAAAATTAGTCCCTTTTATCCTAGAAAAAAATCATCACTAAATACAATTTAATAACAGTAGTATAGCAAAGTCTATAGAAAAGCATCCTAGCTGAAATCCTACTGACCTTAAAATAATGAATTCCAGAATCTCAAAGTGTGATAATATAGGATATTTTCCTCTGAAACAATTATCCATACATAGTGGAAAGAAAGCTAAGTGTCCACCCCATCGACGTAAGCATCTTAACTTAGTCAAATACTAAAAGCTGAAAACTAAGCCTTAAGTGAAAGACTTAACGTGAACAGAACCCCAATCTGATCCTCTTCCAGTCATTAGACCAGACTCGGTCCTCTCTACTTGTTTAGGCCTAATGCACTGGGCGTGGGAACATCGACGTGACTACAACTTGAATAGTAAATATTAGACACCTGGCACCCAAATATTTACTAGTTATTTGCAAGTCTCATTTAAGAATCTCTCACTTCAGAAGTTTAAAACAATGTATTCTTTCATTAAAAATGTAATGCAACCAGATAGACTGTTTTAAATGCTTTATGCTTTACGTGTTTTAAAATAACTTACTGAGGAAAAAAAAAAGAAGATAAAAACACTCGTCTAGACATCGACGTGACATTGGTCACATCTAGATGCATCTCAGCTGACCAGCTGTCCTGTGTTAGATGGATGGCATGGGACTGCATGCACAGGGCCTTAAACATGCAAACTCTGGCCAAAGGTCATAATTCACAGCTATAATCTGATTTGGGGAAAAATGTTTTCAAGTATTACAAGAATTAACATTTGTGAAATAAGGGCCTGGACTCTCAGAACTCTCAGCAAAAGGGGAGGGCAGATTAAGAGTAAGACAGAAGAGAAGTAGTGGACAAGAAGATAGGATTGGACTGCAATTCTAGACAGAAGCTACAGTTGTAGGGAAAAGCAAAAACCTCAGAGTTAGAAACAACACTGAAAGGAACTCATTTGCCATTTGCTTGTTTATCCTTTTAGAATCTTTCTTAATGCACTAGATTGGAGGAGTAAGTGTGGCATAATTTCTTCTGAAAATCAGGACTCTGATACATCTCTCATTAACCCTCCCCCGACGGTTAGAAAGATCAACTTCGGCTGTATATCACACACTCAACTATATTTAATTATTAATCTAAAACAGTGGTTCTCCGCAGAGGTAACATTTCTGCCTCCAGGGGGCGTTTGGCAACATTTTGGGAGATTAGAAACGTGGGGCAGCGATTAGCATCTCATGAGTGGAGGGCAGCATCTTTGCTGACCATTCTACAACACGCAGTACTAACCAAGTCCAAACCGTCTGAAGCCTGCAGAAACAAAATTCTATTCTCCGAATCTTTCTTAGTTGTCTAATTAAAGATAAGTCGCCACCACCGGAGGGCTCATCTTACAACTGCTTCAAGTGTGGCGGATGACAGCTCCAACTAAGAACTATACTGCAGCCCCCTAGGACACTCACAGCGGGTGCACTGAAACCACAGGAAAAGGATTTTCTAACCCTTTATTTCACGTCTATTGTAAATCACCGAACTGGCCTCTACCTGGCTCGGGATCAAGTTGTGTCTGGTCTGTGGTCAATATTCTAAAAAGCCGTCGACCTCGTGGAAACACAGTATCTTTTGAATACAAAAACTCAGGTCAGTCCTATTTACAGAGAAAGATTTACGGGGGAGGCTGTGAAGGGTGGGGAAGAAAAAAAAAAAAAAACACCACCCAGATCTTTAAAATGCAAAGTTATTTCACAGTTTGCTTGCAAAATGACTCAGATCATTATTACTTTTAATCATGCCAAGTTTGCTTCTTCTAAGCCTACTAGTAATGGAGAAAGAACGAAAGAACCACCATCTTTCTGCAGTCGTTAAACCAATGAGACAGGAGCTTACTAAAAAGCAGTTTTGTGCAGTAATGTTTCTCTTTTATCACAACTGTGAGAAAAACGCAAGCCATCGCTGGAAGTGAAAATGAAGATTCTAAGAAACCTGTCATCTGCCTAAATACCTAGCGTGTGGGAGGAAAACAAACAAAAGGAAACCCTGACTCACAGATCTAAAAAGCCATAACCTGTAAATATTTTCCTTATATACTGCTCAATCAAAATCGGAATTTACTCTTTTTTTTTCCCCCTTTCCGTTCAAAAAACTGGAAGAAAGACCTGCACATAGGCTTTCAGCAAAACAGTGTTAAGAATGAATAAAAATACCCTGATGTGCACCTGTCTACCTCACCGGGGCGAGCACCGCAGTGGGCGACCCTGCGCTCTAGAACGAGCCCTTCGCACCTGTCAGGGCTGCGTTCACCCGCGAAGCATCTTCATCTACTATGGGAGCCAACGTGAGCCAACTTTGGTGGTTTCCATCCCCCACCCAGGCAAAATCCAGCACCCAGAGCAGCTCTCGTCCTTACGCAGGGAAAATCTCCCCGGCGCTCTCCTCCACTCGCCCAGTCGCCATACGAAGTTGGCAGGTGAGATCACTGGGACCCCACGGAGGCCCCACAAAGAGAGCCCCGAGGCCACCCAACGCGGCACTCTCCCGGCGTGGGCAAAGCACAGCGCGGCACGACACCTCTCTCGGCGGGGTGTCCGCGGAGAGGGCTCTGCCTGGCTTCCCGGTCGCGAATTGTCCCTCATCCGGGGAGGGCAGAGCTCAACTTCAAGGCTGGGGTTCCCACGCGTCCCGCCGCCCGGCCACGCTCCAGGCTGCCCGTGGGGTCGCGCCCCAGTCCCCGCCGCGGCCGCCGCCCGCGCCGGCTCCCCGAGGACCCCCGGCCCCGGGCCCCGTCCCCACTGCCGCGCTCACCCAGCAGCAGCAGCTTGACCTCGCGCGCCGCCTTCTCGCCGTCCTCCCGGAGGTTGCGGTCGATCATCTTGCTGCGCTCCACGGCCGCCTTGTCCTCGGCGCTCAGGGTGCAGCCCATGGTGGCCGAGCGTCGCCGCGCCCTCGGCGCCGGGGCCGGCTGGCAGCGCGGGGAGAGGCTGGCCCGGGAGGCGCCCGCCGCTACGTCCTCGGCTCGGGAGAGCCGGAGAGACGGGGTCCGCGAGCCCGCACGCCGCCGCCGCTGCCGCCGCCCCGGGCGGCCGTCCCCGCCGGCGACACTCCGCGATCCGCGCTCGCGAGTCCCCGCGGCCGCCGAGC